CAGGAGAGTCTTACGGCTCTGTTGAAGCATCTTGTCATGGGAATGCTGGTCTTGCTTCTCAGCCTGCATGAGCTCATGCCTGCCCCACCAAAGGCATCAACAGCTCTCAGCTTTGCCAACCGGAAGACCCAGCTCATATCCACTCCCTGATTGTTAACTTCTTTGTTGTTCTTTTGTTGTCATTGTTTTGAGACTCAGCATAGCCTGGCCTAAAATTTCCTGTATAGCCCAGGCTGGCTTTGAGCTTGTGGGGATCCTCCTGCTTCAGCCTCCCATTCTTATGCCGGAATGCTGAGGTTAGGAGAGAGAACCGCCATGGGAGGTTCTTAAGGAACTTGTTTCCTTCTTTCACTAGCCTCTTCTCCTTGAGGCCCCCTGCTGGAAAAATGGGCTCAAGTCAGTCCCAGTTCAGCGCATCTACCAACGCCATACAAGCAGGCCAGTGCCTCACCTCAATGGCTGTAAAACAGCTTGTACTGGCCCCACAATGCCCAGTAGTGACCCTGCCTTACCAGAGATGTTCTCAGTGCTGGTAACAGAATGTTCTCTGTCCAGACAATGATTGACAGGCTAATAAAAAATGGTGCTGGTCCCACAACATCAACAGAACTGTGTTCTTTCCTAGGATTTTTTTTTACTTTTTTTTTCCCCCAAAGAAGTATTCTGGATGTTTCTATAACTGTTATTGATCTTTTAATGCAGAAATAAAGTTAGATATATACATGTATGTTGGATTTTTGGAAACTAGATGTGTTGAAACTTTGGGAAACAATCTTCACCATGTTGAGTTACCATTGCACAGAAATTAACAGTTTTATTAAAATGTTGAACTTATTTTTTCTTTTTGTACAGCAGTAACACACAGTATTAAATTGAAAAGTCTTATCTGCGAGGGTTTGACTTGTTTCCTATAGTGAAGACCCTTTTCAACAGCATCTTGAATTCTCTGTAGGTGGTCCACCACATGACTCCACTGGAGGCTGAGTATAATATGAAGGCAGGAGACAAAGGCATTACACCCTAATAAGCCTTCTCGGTCTTGGCCTAACAGTTCTCTCTTTAAAACACTCCCACAGAATCCTGCATTCTAGTTACTGAGTCATGGCATGCCCGGGACGCCCGCCCATGGGAGCCAAACTCTTCCCACATGGCCCCTATGCCATCGGAGGACCTCAGGTGAGAGATGTCCTCACCCCTGCCATCGGAGGCCCTCAGGTGAGAGCTGTCCTCACCCCTGCCACTCTGCAGCAATAGCAGCCCCATCTCAGCTGGCTCACCAAGGCTGCACCCAGCAGCTGGGTCCCAGGGCCCAGATCACAGCCATTGCAGCTAGTGTGGCTAGCGGGCCACCCACTGGCTAGTGCGATCACCAGTGCGCTCACTGGGGTGGAGGGAGAAACGCTGAGACCTCAGAAGCGGAGGATCACCTCATCAGGAGCCTCCGGAAACAGCTGGGTTTTCCTTGTTTCTAGGCGCTAGGACAGTTTTGTTTTGGTTTTGGTTTTTTGTTTTTGGTTGTTTTGGTTTTGGTTTTTTGAGAGAGGGTTTCTCTGTGACTTTGGAGGCTGTCCTGGAACTAGCTCTTGTAGAGCAGGTTTGGTCTTGAACTCACAGGAATTGACCTGCCTCTGCCTCCCGAGTGCTGAGATTAAAGGTGTGCGCCACCACCGCCCGACTTGAGCTAGGACAGTTTTTTAGTGCTGTTTAGTGAGGGCTTCAGTGAAGCGATGACCTACATCAGACTGCAAATGAATTAGTCTAATCGAGTTCACACCTGCCCCCCACGCAAATGACCCTAATGAAACTCCATGAGGCAAACATACAACACACACACTCACACGCACACACACAGAGTCATACACACACATACATGCATACACACACTCACACAATTACACACATAGTCATACTCACACACAGACTAACACACCTGCACACACTCACACCCCCCCACAAAGTAGGAGAGACACAGGTTGGGAAGGAAGATGGGTTTCAATGGGACAGAGGGAAGGCGATAAGACAGGTTAATTGTTATTTCTTGAAGGTTCAAATTGAAGAGATGGAAAACCATCTCTGATCACCAAGTATTTTTACCTCAAACAATGAAATTGGTGATCAGAGTAGGGTACAAAGCTACATGTTAACCCTCTCATTGTTCACAGCACACTGCCACACAGAGTACCAGACTGTCCCGACCCCATTTTAGGTCCTTAAGATGGTGCAGAATTGGGGGCTGGGCAAACAGTTGTGTGTCTCACAGCAGGAAAATTACGGAGTTCACGCCCTTGTGGACAAAATACTGCAGACTGAAGCTCCCTTTTGGGGCTGGTTCAGCAGGTAAGACAGCTTCTCCGGCCCGAGTGATGGCTCTTGTGCAGCCTCTCAAGCCAATTTGCAGGCTCCTCCCTCTGAGAGCTGTCCTCCCTTCTCTTTCTAGTAAATATGGAAGTTCCCTTAAGTTCCCACATAGTCCTCACTCCCTGACCGATACCAGGACTGAGCCTGTGAGGAGCCTGTGACCCTGGGGTCACACAGGCTGTGGCTCTGACTTTACCTCTCCAGGGTTCCCCATTGGAATCTAAGAACAATCAGCAGATAATAGAGAAAAGTAACCAGTGTCTATTTCCCCACTAGGCTGGCAGCACCCTGAGGGCCAAGCTATATCTGCTCGTTTCCTGGTTTGGTTTTTCACAAATATCTTCTGGCTTTGGGGCTGCTGTGCCAACACAAAATAGCATGACTTAAAAAAAATTCTCACCCTTATCTTTCTTTTGCAACAGAGTTGTGTGTATATAAGGCTGCCCTCAGAGGCGGTCTGGAGCAGATAATAACCTTGAACTTCTGGCCCTCCCGCTTCTGCCTGAGTGCTTGGATCACAGGCATGGACCAGAAAGATCAGCATATGTAGCAATGGGGATCAAGCCAGGGCTCTTCATGCTATGTTTGTATTATATCAACTGAACTACACTCTTAGCTCCCAAATCCCAATTCTCTGATCCCCACACTATTGCAAGCCTCACAGACACTTTGAACTCCTGAGGACATTAGTCCGGAAGTAGCATCATTAGAGACATAAATGACATCTATGTTGGCATAGGGATTACAACAGTGGTGTTGAATGACTATGCTGCCTGGAGCTAAAATCCCCAGAGGTCCCATTCCTGAAAAGCTGACTCTCCCAGCAATCCCAAGGTGACTGTCTGTCTTGTCCAACCCGGCTCTCTACAGTGTCCCTTTCCTGACATTTTCCTTTCGATGCTCATTGTGACTCAAACAATGATTATAAAAGGAGGTGAGAATGGGCAGAAGAAGGACGAGGGACAGGACTGTGTCATTTGTCAGTCAGTGTGTCATTAATGATGCTCTGTCACGTCCTCGTCTCCCAATTTTCTCCCTGAAGTCAGCGGCCCTTAGCTAAGAATTGGGGACTTTGCTGGTCGTGTTGGTGCTTTTAACCTCAGCACATGTTGAGGCAGAGGCAAGTGGATCTCGTGAGATTGAGGCCAGCCTGATCTACAGAGTTACAATAGTGAGTGTCCAGGATTTCATGAACATGTCGGATAGAGTCAGCATGCTGAGAATAGAGAATTCTAGTTTTCTATTACTTGTTATTACCAATGTGTAAACTAACTACAAAAGCTTTTATCAAAACCTAGGGCATAATATGAATCATAGTAATAAGCCAAGATTATTTTATTATCATTGAAAAAGCTAGCTGGGCATTAGTGGTGCATGCCTTTAATCCCAGCACTCAGGAGGCAGAGGTAGGTGGATCTCTGTGAGTTTGAGGCCAGCCTGGTCTACAGAGTGAGTGCCAAGATAGGCTCCAAAGCTACACAGAGATTCCCTGTCTCAAAAAACCAGAAGAAAGAAAGAAAGAAAGAAAGAAAGAAATAGATATTTCTGACAGAAAGTAAAAATAATGTACCAAAACCTTAAAGACCTGCTAAAATTCTTGTTTCTTTCCTGGGAAAAACACCATTACCTTGAATGGCCCTTTCTCTTTGTAAAACCTTTAGACACCTCCTAAAGTCTGCAACTTTTTTCTGGTTGCTGTGATACAGTTCAGATTTAGAAAGATGAAGGCGATCAGCTTCCTGTGTTCTGAGAAATGTGAGCTCTTCTCACCTGTGGAGATGTCTCCATCTCCATGATTCACAGCTGTCCATGACAGGGCAGCTTGACTCTGGAATGTAACACGGAAATGCCTGTGCTCTGTAAGCCACCTGGGTGAGCTAGTTCAAACCAGCAGATCATAGCCTGGGGGCGGGGGCCAGGAACTCACTCACATACACCTTGTAGAAGACCACGGTAGCAGTGTAATCTGGTGACAGTTTATGGATTTTATTCATTATTCTACTGATCTCTTCCACACTGTCTCATCCTGTTAGAATAGTATTGGATGGCTGTCCCTTTTTATTTCTGTTACAGACTTTTCAAGGTCCAAGGGAAACCAGACAGCAGCAACCAGGTTGTTTGGGATATGTAGTCAGCTTTGGAAGATCTGGCATGGGTGCCGGGAAGTCTCTACAAGCCTCCTTTCTCTTCCCTGCTTCCGTCCCAGCCTCACCCGGAAAGCTGCCGTGACCGCCGGAGTTAAAACTCCTAAGACACTACTAATGCCTCGAAATGGAGACAGGTGGGGGACTGGGGAAGCAGGTGACATGCTCCTCCTGAACCTTAGTAGAGGAATCTTACTTGGGTTTATTTTGTTTTTGTTTTTCTGGCACTGAGCATGCTGCATATCATTCTAAGTGATGCCTCCAGCTGCAGAGAATTTCTTAGCTGAGAGAACTCAAACCTGCAGCAGGGGAATTTCCCAGGACAGCTTAATTTAACAGTCTTGGGACTTTTCACCTCCCACCCCCACTTCTTTCCCAGCTTGAATGACATCTGTAAGATTGCCTCCGCTGCTTTGACATTTAACTTTTGAAGATCACGACACAAATTTCTCCGAGTATCACAATGACTTAAATGTCCATTCTGTAGCATTACAATCCCTAGTGAGGGAGGGCATATATCTCCTCATAGGGGGGAGGAGAGAAATGGACACAGTCCTCTTCTTCCGTCTGCTGGTCGGCGTCAGAGCTGGGCCTGAAACAGCACAAAACATAGTTGCACTTGCAGAGATCCATTGTCACCACCCTGGGTGGCAGGTTACCCTGTTTACAGTCCCTGCCACCTGCCTGGAGGTCCAAATATAAACCAGAGATACTCATTGTGATGCTAAATGGGAGAGGAGCAATCCCAGCACCCAGCATACCTGTGGTTTCCAACAGCCACGAAAGGAGAGTAGCCCTCGTTCTCCACAAATGCAGCATTGTCTTGAGGGTAAATGGTGTAGTACTGAGGGGGACTTGGTGTGGCAGCCGCTGCCCCGCTAGAAGGTACGAGACCGCAAGGGTTCATCATGGGCTGCAGGTAAGCGGCGTTCATCCCCAGAGGCTCCTGAGACGCATAAGGAGGAGGGATGTACTGCACCACAGTGGCCCCGTGGAAGGTGATGGGCTGGTTGATGCCGGTGAAGACGAATGACTGTCCTCCCGAAGTCTGGTCCGAATCCAGGACCCTTTCCTCGCTTTCTGTGCACAGCTGGCAGGTTAGCATTTTGAACTTGCACACGGCGATCAAGATAAACGTCACTCCGACTGACAGGAGGATGGGCCCGAGGAGCTGGGTCCATTCAAAGTGAGAGACACCCTGGTACTTGATCCAGCCCATGACAGTGAACGTGATCCCCACCAGTCCTAGAAAGATACCCGAGAAAAGCAAAGTGGCCCCCGCCTTGTCGTCGTCGGACACCTGGATGTCGGCGGTACTGGGCGTGTAAGGAGTGACGGAGAACACATTAAGCGGGAAGTCCTCCGGGCGATTACTGCTGTGCTCCATGGCTCCTCACGCAACTGTCCAACATGAGAGGAGACAGAGTCTGTGGGAGCAGGGAGCGCAGCCCGGGTTAGTTAGAGAAGGACCTTTGGGTCTTCGTGGTTAACAGAGTATAACATACACAGGCTGAACTTTGTTTAGAAGACTAAAGGTCCAAGAAATGAAGCCTGAAATTTTGTTGTAGGTTTCCAGAAAGTGGAGGTTTCTGTTTTATGAAGCAATGGCAAACTGTCTTTCTCTTTTACATTCATTCATCTAGACATCCACTCATGAAAATAATAATATAATAATAATAATACTAAAACACTTCTCAGGCCTGTGTTGTGTCAGGGGATGCTTTGCTGTAGTCCTGTCCCTGCACTTGGTTGTGTTTCTGTCCTGACAAAGCCAGGTTTGTGTAAATGGCAGCACTGCTCCCAACAGAAGGAGTCCTTGGAGTATCTACTGCCTGCTTGAAACCTAAGTGAACTTTTTTTGTTTTTGTTTTTGTTTTGATTTTTGATTTCTAGAGATAGGGTTCCAGGCTGTCATGGATCTAGTTCTGTAGACCAGGCTGGCCTTAGCCCACAGAGATCTGCCTGCCTCTGCCTCCCGAGTGCTGGCATTAAAGTAGTGTACCATCATTGCCTATTTTTTTTGGCTGGGTCGCCTCAGCAGAAACAGGTTCATACATACAGGAAACCACAAGCTGAGTAGTTTATACAGAAAAGACAGTTATTTTTCACAGTTCCATGTCTCTGGGGCCAATATCAACATACTGGCATCTACGGGAGGTCTTCTCTCTGCCGCCTCCACTGCCCCATGAGGACACTACAGTACATCAGCCCATGTCTCAGAAAGCCACTAATACATCGGGGCCCCACCTGATTATGTCCCAAAGGCTTGATCTCCAAATACCACCAATAGATGATTCAAGGGGTGAGTAACATACAAGCCTTGGGATCCCACTCAAGCCACAGCTCTCAACAAGGCTCTGAGACCCTGCTGTATCCTGGCCTGGGTTTCTCTAGTTCTCTGCATCTGGGGAGCACTCTAGTGGTGGGAGAGGGAAGATCACACAGGAGCCCTTTCTGAGTGCAGCCTTAGTGGCAGAGGTTTTGCATGAGCATCAAATGGTGAGATGTTGCCTGGACACCGACCTCAAGCCCTGTGTTCTAGTGGCTGCCCAGTTCCAGATCTCCAAGATAAGACAAACAGCTGGTTTTTTGAACCTCCCCTGTTTTGCAACTAAACCTAAGCTGATGTAAAGAATCTTCAGTGACCTTATCTGTCCTTTATGACTGACTATAGAATTTCCAAAGAGACCCATGGACTTCTCCCTCCATTGAATGGCAACTCTGTTCTTGTTCTTTTTTTTCCTGGACAGACCTTGTCCAAGCAGCTTCTCTCACCAATGGTTAAATATTACATCAGGTTCTTTTTGCATAGGTAAGAGAGTTGCCCTTTTGTCCGAGGCAGCCTTCTTAAACTTCCTCTGATCATAAAAGTCACCCAGGCCACTATTTTCTTTTGGATAGGTGATGATGGAGGCCAGTCTGTCACATGAGGTTAGAAAGGGCTTTACTGCCCAGCTATGTCCCCAGCTCTTAAACCAACACACCCAAAATACCCGAGGGAAAAGGGCTCAAAGTGCCTATGATAGTTAATCTTCACCCTCAGTTGAAGCAGACTTAGAGTCACATGGAGACACACCTCTGGGTGTGTCCAGAAGGATTTAACCAAGGAGGGAAAATCCACCCAGAATGTGGGTGGCGCAGTCTCAAGAGCTTAATAAAAAGGGCTGGAGTGATGCCTCAGCAGTTAAGGGCATGTGTTGCTCTTGCAGAGGCCCGAGGTTTGGTTCCCCGCACCAACAAGGTGATTCACAACCATCCGTAACTTCATTTCCAGGAAGTATGCTACCCTCTCCCGTCACCCCTGGGCACCAGGCAGACAGGTGGTGCACATACATCATGCTAGCAAAGCACTCAAAAAAAATAGTACAATAGATCTATTTTTGTTTTGTTTTTTGAGACAGGGCTTCTCTGTGTAGCTTTGTAGACCAGGCTGACCTGGAACTCACAGAGATCCGCCTGCCTCTGCCTCTGCTGGGATTAACGGTGTACACCACCACTGTATGGCTAGATCTATTTTTTTTAAGGAGACAGTGAACTACAGTATTTATCTCTCTGTTCCCTAACTGTAAACGAACCTTTCATCACACCTGTCCTTGTCCTGATGACTGTACCTTCAAACTGTAAGCCACAATAAACCTTTCTTCCTTTAAGTTGCTTTGTCAGGTGTTTTGTTATTACAATGAGAAAAATAACTAATACTGTGGCCCATGGGTCTCATCATCAGGACTTTTAGAAAACTGGAACCCAGATGAACCCCAAATACTTCTCAAAGCCCCAAGACTTATTTCTGCCCATCTAAATGCCTCTCTTTGCTAAGAGACATGACCTAGAACCTCTTGTTTCCCTGTCAAGCATGTGGAAAAGCAGTATGGTAGCCTCAGAATTTCTCTGGGGGCCTCCAAACAGCTAAGGTTGGGTCCTCTTTCTGTAGGAGGGAACTTCTTTCCTGGAGTCCGCAAACACAGGCAGATGCAGCCTTCTAACGCCAACCACCTTCTCTGCTTGGTCAGAACGTCTCTGCTGGACCAGCTTACCGTGCACCCAGGCTCTGAAAACTGTCTTTCTAAAGCGTTTGTATTTGTTCCTTGTCTTTAGTTATAATACACATCACATATTTACGATGTTGTGACTAGTCACTCATCTCAGTGCTGTGACCAAATCCCTGGCAAAAACAAACCAGAAGGGGGAGGGTTTTCTTAGGCTCACAGTTTGAGGATTCTGGGTCTCCTCACCTCCAGATGAGGTCTCACATCTGGACAGCACAGGAAGCAGGGATGCAGGTCCTCAGCTGGAGCTCTCCCTCACTCTCCCAACCACATCTCTTTATTCAGTCCAAGGCACCAGACCAAGGAATGGTGTCCACATTCCTGCCTCCGTTAAACTTCTCTGGAAATATGTTCATAGACACTCTCAGCTTTGACCTTTGGTGACATGTCAAACCTTTACTAGTAATAAATCATTAATAACCTTATTTTAAAACTATTCCTTCGTATACATATAATTTTGCCATTAACTAAAATAACAGCAAATTTGCATACAAATGAAGTGCATGGTTTTATTTTTATATGAAGAATTAAACCTGGACTGAATATTTGATACTGCAGTATGACATAGAGTATGTTCCGTGTTTGTCTGCTTTGATTGACACTTTGATTTAATAAGCACAAAAACTGAGAACAACGATTTTATAATCATCAATGCCTCACTCAAGTGTGTAGGATAACATGCCTGAAGTTTGTTTAGGAGGATTTCAAAATGTTTTGAAAAGTCTTTCCTAATTCCAAGACGAAACTGATTGAAAACAATTTTTATCAAGTTCAAGTCGGTCAGTCTAACACAAACAATCTAAAGACACACTCAGAAGTCTCAGAAGTAAGGGGAGGAAAACATCAGAAGTTCTTAGATTCCATAACCAAACTATGGTGTTCCTACAACAGCAGAAAACTGGATGCACAGTCAAACAATGACAGTTGGTACCATGTGATAGACAAGAGTCCAAGCCTGCAGTGCAGATGTCACGGTACTGGTGACCTTGGAAGGTGACCCAAGCGTCAGTGAAGCTGAGTGGTGCAAGCAACATGGGTGAGCGCTGTTGGGCACACATCAGACCCATTTTACATTCCATTTTGATTGCTGGTTAGGCATTGTGCATTCAGAAATCTTAGCCAAGTCTTCACAGCCCCACATGCAGTTAGGTGGCCTCAGACTTATGTTGGGCTCTGAAAAGTTGTGCTCTTAAGATGGTTCATGAAAAGTTTGTTTGTTTAAGGGAATAGGGAGATGACCAAGTGAGTAAAGCATTTGCCACACAAGTGTGCGAACCCGAGTTCAGATCCCCAGCACCCACGTAAAACCAGCCATGATAGTGTACGTCTATAACCCCAGTGTTCCTACAGGAAGACTGGAGGCAGGGTCACTGGGAGCTCGTAGGCCCAGGTAGCCTGGAATACAAAGAAGCAAACAAGAGACCCTGTCTCAAAAAAGCAGAGGGCAAGGACCAACATTAAGGATGTTCTCTGCTCATCACACATGTAGTAGCACACATGTATCCACATTAGCACACTCAAACATGTATACATACACATCTCACTCCTCTCTCTCTCTTCCCTCTTCTCTGTCTAGTCGTTAAGTAGAGCTCTTTTGGAAGGTTCTGGAAACTGGAAATTGGGGCCTAACTGAAGATAGATCACTGAAAGCAGGTCCTTGACCAGCGACATTCTGACCTCTTTCCATCACTCCCAGCTTCGTATTTAGCCAAGCAGAGAGCAGCTCTAATCTGCCCCCCTCTGCTACCACCATGATGTCTTGGCCAAGTGCAAGAGACCAGCAAACATGGCCTCTGAAACCAAAAGAAGCCAAAAGAAATCTGTTACACCAGAGGTTTCTCTCCAGTATTTCTTTCGATCATAGTAACACAAAAATACAAGCATACCACTAGTACTAGGATTTTTATGATTATAAGCACACTGTCTCAAATGACTGACAGCCTTGGTGGCCAAGTCAGTCTCCTGCTTCAATTTTCAAACTCCATTTCTATTCTATAGATGTAATATGCCATTGGGTTACATCATTCTATAGATGTAATATGTCTATAGAATATTTGAGAATATTGAGTGTTAAAACTTGAAGATCATTTTTTAAACTAATCTGCTTCATGAGCATCCATTATAATTAAGGAGAATAATTCTACTGATGTTATCCATAAATCTGACCCTGTGTCTGGAGATACAGTGCTTCAATACAAAGAGACTAATTCATCATGGATATGCAAAGGCTGCCTTATGTATCCTGAGTTATTAGTTTTCTGTTTCATATCTGTTGAAAGCACCTACATCTCACACACTATTTCCTTTCAAATAAAATTTACTGCTAATTAACTCCCTCAAA